TCATATGTAATTTAAAAGCAAGCTTTTCTTTGTAAAAACTTCAATTGAATTTCAATAAAGTTAAAGGCATGGCTTCATCGTTAATATTTAAAAAAAAAAAAAATATTATTATCACATAATATCACACATATGAGCTTTTTATTAATACTTTAAAACAAAAATTAAAACTATCACTATTATTTATAAATCTCAATTAACTTTTAACTTTATAAATTAATTGTTTGTTTCATTTTATTTTTTCTTTCATTAAACCATGTAAACAACTTTTTCATATTCGATTTTATATCTTCATCTAAGCATATATTTTTCTTCAAACAAGTTTTTACAAACTCTCATCTCTTCTAATCAGTTGTTTTTCAGAAAAAAAATTTTCAAATGCACATCATGCAATAGCTTTAGATGAAGATTAGTTAACAAATTCTTTACTCTGTTTTAAATAATTTATAATTAATATTTGGCTAATTTAATATTATTAGATTATTTACTTATACTTATTCTTTTTATAGAATTGTGTTTGTGATTTCTAATTATTGCAGTTCTTCATTTTTGAACTGATGGTAGTAATGGATTTAATATTAATACTTTCATATTAGTTGAATTAACTATAAGAGTTTCATTTGCTCTTTCAACTTCACTGGAATCTTTAATTTCTTCGATTGCTATTCCAATTTCTTTGATTTTAACTTGTTTCAGGATTGTAGCCACCAATAGTTTTGTTTTGCTATTAACTAACATAAAGCTTTTATCATTAATATTATTCTTAAAATTATATAGAATACTGTACTTAATAATTATTGATAATTAAATATGTCTTGTATAAAAATAAACCTATTTGCCTCTTTATTATTTGTCATTTTATTTAAAAATAACTAGGCTTTCTTGGTTTAGCACTATATATTTTAGAAGTTCCAACCTTTGAAGCTCTTCATTCAAGTAGTTCAATAGAATAAAACAGTTCCTTTTTTGTAGTTCTATATTTGAATGAAAAAAATATATTGTTGCTTTGTATTGAAAAAATCTAAAAGATTTCCTCAAATGCAGTTTTAGTAAAATTGTTATAAATTATGAGGTTTTTATATACTGCTAGTGCTGCATGTTCCTTTTTGTAAAAATATTGAACAAGATCGTATTTTACAGTGTTCATAGTAGTCTTGCTATTTTCTATATTATTAAACAGACATGCTGTATATACATGCTTGCATACTTTATAAAAAACCAATTCCATACAAAAACAAGACATGTGCACTCTTTTATAAAAATATTAACAATATAGTGATCATTTAGTTGTATAATTGAATGCTTAGATGCAAGCTTATTTAATATCAGTTGAAGTAATTGATATACTTTATTATTAAAATAAATATTTTTCATAGTATATAGAGATCAAAACTTATTATTTTCTTTTTTTATATAGAAATATAAGTCATTTGTATCAAATACAGGTTTTACTAAATGAAGCAAAACACATAACTATTCTTGATTTAAATGCCATTTTGTGTTTGCAGGTTGTTTAAATAATGATGTTTGATGTTCAATAATTCATATGTTTCAATATGTTACTTGGCCTGCTTCAAATATAAATTATGAAGAAGTTTCTTAAACAATATTATCTTGCACTAGTGTAATCCTATACAATCTTTCAATAAAGTTATTAATTGATTGTATGTCTACATGTCAACCTTCAATTGATTTGTTCATTTATTCTGTAAGATTATTTATAGTCATAGGTTTTATACTTGGATAATCATTTACAAAAAGCAACTGATTATCATCAATAAACAATTAATCCATTCTTCAGATAACTAATTAGCAAATATATTGTTATAGAACGATTTATTATTATTTTATTATTATTATTATTATTATTATTATTATATTATTATTAGTATTAG